TTAAATTTGTTCAATTGCATCAACAAAAACCTTCAGGTATAGTTTGGGTACAGTTTGACCACTTGGATGTTGGTCATAAATTTAGAATTGAAAACAGACATTTTTATATTCAAGGAATTGAAAATGCATGGACCCCAATAAAACCTGTCACTGTGCAATTTGCAGTAGGGAGAAACAAAGCAGCACAAGTTGTTAGGAAACAGTTTCCATTACGCCCTGCAGCAGCGAAAACAACTCACAGATCTCAGGGTGATACTGAAACTAAAATAGTTGTCAACTTCAATGCTAGAAGAACTATTCCACACATTCATTATGTGGGACTGAGTAGAGTTACTACTTTTGAAAGGTTATATATTACTGACCTCTGTGAAGACAAAATTGCTGTCCATCCTGATGTTAGGATAGAAATAGAGCGATTAAGAACAGTTGCAAAACTTAAGCTTTGTATATCACCACTTTATTACATAACAGGTTCCCGTCTAAAACTGTGTTATCTGAATGCAAGATCTCTTCATAAACACATCCATGATGTGTGTCTTGTTAGAGAGGAGAATTAAAGAAGATAACGCTCCTGCAGAGAACAGAAAAAGGTCAGCAAAAGTAGCTAGGCAAGTTTTCAAGAGCACTCAGGGAAACAAAAAGGACAGAACCTGTAGAAAAGAGCAAGTTATCACTACTGAGGTATTAAGTCCTTTAGAACTGTTCTTTGACATATTAGTGTATAATAAAAATTGTCGAACTTGGTTCTTCATGATATCCATAACTAGCAATGTCTCAGTAAGCATTGTGGTTCTCAGTCTTTGGCTTCAGCTGATAATGCTAACCTTGCCCTTGATAATTTTTGATATCATGAAAGACCTCCTGTACATATAATGAAGATACATTGTAACACTATTTACATTTTAGGACACAAATGCCTACAATTATGGGATAGAATATGAAATACTACTTCTGTGACAGTCAGCTATTACCAGTGCTGTTGAAAATAGTGTTTGTATTTATTATATATGTTATCCTTCCAATTTTTTTGGTTTTAAATTTTATAAACCAGTTTCATTTTCCTTTTTTTGTTGTAGATCATGGTAATGAATATGAAACAATAAAATATTAAAATCAAATCAAATTGAAAAACTTTCAACCAAAGATAATTTTTGTAAGAACCACAACATGTGCATTGATCATGCCAATGCTGAATATCTATCACATGAGAGGTGGCTAAGTAAATAATAATAAAAATATTTGTTTATACATATAACAGATGGACCCCAAAAATCAGACTAACTTCTTAAACAAAGTGTGTTTTCAATAGCTTCAAAAGATCTATCTTTAACTTAGACTGCCAGTGAAGTTCCAGCTTTCTACCTTACTAAGAATTCTGGTCTGTAGTACTGTCGTCATCAACTGGTAAGTATCTTATTTCTGCACCCTATGTCCCTCTCCCCCATTAAAAAAATCCTTGTCTAAAAATAGTGCCATCTTACTGTGCATAATTATAGCATACTATTTTCTAATAAATATATATATTTCTCTTTTGTCTCCTTAGACAAGTATTCTTCACTCATTACCAAAGGAAGTTTTCCCCTCAGTCCCAAACAGCAAGAAGTATCAGTAGCTTGTCATCCCCTTGTACAAAACAGCAATCCAACAGACCAGTGGTTCCTGTACAATACCTGCTATACTGCAAGTGAAATTCTTTATAAATCAGTTGTAATAAATGAAGGGAAAAATGCAAACTAGGCACTGGGAAGAGACCAGTGAAAAGGATCTTGAAAGTCACAGTTGGGAAAACCGAACAAACATCAGTAGAATCTGCTCCTTTTTTCTAGCAAACATTTAATGTATAATGAACACCTGATCATGTAACTTCCATGTGACAACTTAAACTGACACTTTTTATTAATTATTAACAAGTAAAAGAAAGTTATAAACTTCTTACATGTGGATGAAACTCCAGTCTTGCAGTATGCAATTATGATCTGTTGTAAATGATTCAGTGAATCAGGAAGTTGCTTTTTTTTTCACTTTCTAAACAGTGCAGTAGTTGTAGGTAGACACACACCAAGTCTACTTAATTCAGTAGGACTCAAAACTGTTGAGCAAGCCTGCATGTGGAAAAAAGTTAAAAATCCAACCTTCAAGTAAGGGGCAAAGAAATAATATTATTACCATTGAAGGCTTAGCAACTGTCAATTAATTTTATATTAGGAGATTTATCTTTTACATTATTTGTCCTGTTGAACACAAAATTTGCTAAAAACAAATATGTACTCTTCCAGGTACATCAGCTATGATTAGGTATTTGTTTGAAACAATTATTGTAACATCAAACAAATTTAATAGTGGCAGCACTGGCCATCAAAGTATAAGAGCTGCAATGTGTTGCAAACTTTTGTGAGCCACCTTCATGCTACAGAAACTAAGACAAGCTAATGTGTCACTAGGCTTGTATGCAGAATTTTTTTTTTGGGAGCATCTATGAGGTGTACAAAAAACCTTTCAATTAAAATTTTTAGACCGAAAATTATAAATGAAAGATTGATAGGAACCACACACAACCCATGATGTAAATTCATGATACTTAAAAGGTGTATAATTAATACCACCAGTGCTATACGGCTCACAACATAGACATATCTATCTTAATTACCCCAAACTGCTCCTGTCTGGCCCAGTAGCACAGTCAGTAGAACATCAATAGATAAATCCAGAGGTTATCTGATAAATTTCCACATGGGTAAAGTTTTCTCAGTTCTATGGGAACACTCCCAGATGTCGTCTTTCAGGGTACTAACCCAGTGTTATTTGGTGTTTTGGCAGTACTGCCTTCCTTTGCACCCAAACACACATTAAAAATGTATAACTAATTCAACACAGGATTTCTGGTTTTAAATGGTCGTAACGGATGACTTGAACTGCTCATAAAGAATCTTACAAACTACTTTATTTTCTCTGGAAGTGCGAAGAGACAACTTTGTTTCGTTGAGAAATTCTTTAATCGATCATTAAGTTAATTTATCCGCTAATGAGATACGTTACAGTGATTTCATAATACTAATGTAAGTCATTTGTAAGCTATGGACCTAGCCCACTCACTGGGTAAATATCAAATCGTTCCGTATACTTTATTATCTGAGCATTTCATAACAATGTAACTTCCTTTTAGGATTCGAACGCAGTTCTTATTGTCTGGCAGTAAAGTCGTCAATAAAGATGTTTGATAACAGTGAACCAAAAACCCACAACTGACGAAACAAACTTCTTATATGAGTGATTCGGCCAAAGTTTATCCATATTAACTACTCTTTGGGGTATACTGTTGCCCTGGATTTAAGAGCAGGATACCCTTGATATTATGAACTTTATTTCTGCTGCCTCACCAGATAATTCATTTGGCTTTACCAAACAAAAGTGAAGATCCCTCACTTAGTGATTTTTACAGGATCTCAAATTCACTCAGAACACAGGCGTTGATCTCACACCTTCATCAATCTCACACCTCCACCCTCAAGTTGTCATTGACAGCCTTATGAAGTAAATTGTACTGCGACAGCTCTAATTATTCCTTTTTTCAATTCTTATTGTCAAATAACATGAAGTATAGTCGCTTTCTTTCCTTTACATTTTCTGCAGCTGTTGCCTTCACTGTATTGTATGAGACCAACAAAAAAAAATTATAGGGTGGATATTCACCTCCCTACCCTCTTTCCCTCAAATGCATCCTCAGTGGCTTTATCAAGAGGTGCATTTCTCTCTTCATCCACTTTTGAGACTAAAAGTCCGATGGTGGATGAGGGTTTACTCCCATAATACTCGTTGCCTTGCTTTGTAGGAGTGTAAATTTCTCATGTTTGCTCTCGCTTAGGGTGTTCAGTATAAAACGCCAAGATTTAAACTCGTGTCTCGTTTATGGTTGTACACAAAGAGATAGAGAAAAAATAAATTACATTTTTAGTATTTTTGATATATTTTTGAGGGATCCTTCTCTGTGTTGCATGGTGGCATATGGATTTCACTCTGACGATACCATCCTTGCAGGCAAGTTACCATTGATAATTATTGCTTTTACTCCAAAACTTGTTCTGCGATTTTTAACTACCGTAACGTTGCCCTTGAAAAACTCAAAACTTAGGATCAAAACCAGCCAATGGAAAAACTACACTGTTTCCAGAGAGGTCCACGCCATCTGAAACTTTGCTGTGTTTTCAAATTTTATTCTAGATCTATTCTTTGTACAAAATCCTTACACAACACCATCAGAAACCTTTTTGCTACCAAGATTTGATACCCTGCAAACGCAGATGGATTTCTGGCTGTTCTCTAAAGACAACAGCAGAGATCCATTCGCATTTGCAACCTTTAATAAACAGTACCATTGAGGGCCTCTTTCTTTCCATAAATTCTAGTTCTTCCAACATTAACAATAAACTCCAGCAACATTGTTCTCGCTGGCTTTATAAATGTACTAGCAAATATCATGATAATTTTGGATGTTTTAATGTTTTAAAAGGAAATTTACTTCAACTTCAACCTTTCACTACCTAGGGATTGTTTCCTCGGGTGTAGGCAACACGGCAACACTAAACTGACCAATCATAACGCTGGAATTTCAATCCTATGTACTAGTATAAAAGCCAACATTCCTGCTCACGTCAATCAGTAAGCATTTAGCAACGATGAAGGGTTCAAGGAGGGCAAGTGAGAAAATGAAAAATGTGGCCAAGCCCAGCCCTTTGCCTTCAGTCGCTACTGTTACAGAACCTGTGTCGGCCAAAAGTTTTACATCAAACTCAAGCCAACATGCTGTTGAGCCCCAAAGCCCTCCTACGACCCCACCCAAAGGAAAACAGAACGATATCATTGCATATGTTCATGATTTGTCTTCTCCTATTCAAAACAAACGCAAGACCATGAAGTACTCCACCCTAACACTTCAAACCAAATTGGAAGACCTCATGCATTACTGTATTCGCTGGCCACTGCTAGAAGACAGCCTGTGAACAAGAACTCCTGTAAAGATAAGAAGGTTCACTTGCACAGCAGACCAAGCCAAGCTCATTATCAATGATATGACAGACATTTCTCAACCCTCGCCAACTGAGTACTGTTTCCAGTATGTAGAGCTGTCGACCAACAAGTGCACCATGATAGCAGATATCCTCCAGAATTCAAGCGAAGGTGATTCAGTGTCAGTCCTTGGTAAGGTAGGAAACATCAGTGAAATATCAACGATTCATCTTGGCAAACAAAGTCTCCAAATGGCTGAAGGGACAATAGCAGATTTAACAGGAAATATACCTATCAGCCTGTGGGAAGATAATCTTGCGTTAATTACCACAGCTGCAGTTTACAAGATAACAAACATTCGTGTGGGCTTCTGGAATGGTGCAAAGAAGTTAACTACAAGTCCAAATTCCATCATCTCTGCCATTCAAGATGAGTAGCTCAAAAGCATAACTATGGAAGAGCCTTCAGAAGTTCCACAAGAGGATGAATTGACAGTAGTAGTTCCCTTCATAAAAACTGTCGAGAAGGTTCAGCAATACCCTCTTTGCATACACTGTTCCAGAAAGCTTTTGCGAACCACAGCCAGTTTGCTAGTGAAATGTGATAGATGCAAACACACTATGGTTCTTGCCAACTGCAATAAAAGAATGTTTGTTCATTTTTCCGTACAAGGACAAGATGAAAGTGACGTCATCGTCACTGCGTTCGAGCAGACGTTGAAGACAGTTGTTCTAAGAGTCGGAGAAATGTTGGAAGAGCAACTGACTGAACATTTGCTGTTATTAAACAACAATACCATTAAGTGCAGTTCATCGACACATATTGTGTCTGCCGTTGAACTCTAAACCAGTAGCCACTTTACTATTGTGCTGGCAATTGAACTCAGGAACCCTGAAAAAAAAAAAAAAGAAGAAGAACTCCTGTTTATACTAAGATTCTTATCTTGTTTTTCTGATAGAATTTAAACTGTAAACAATAGTTTGTTCAGGAACACAGAACACTGAAGAACAATTTTAGAAATTCATATTATTTCAACTTTTTTTCAGTTATTAGATGTTGGCGAACTCTAAACCAATTGTTTACATTTTGGAAACTTGTGTTATTTCAACTCGTGTGTTGTGTCTGAGATTGAACTCTAAACCAATTGCTAATGTGTTTCAGGAACACAGAACACTGAAGAACAATTTCGAAAACTCATGTTATTTCAACTTTTGTCTTGTTATTTTCTATGCAATTGGACTCTAAACCAATGATTAAAATATTTATGAGTGTATTTCATGTGGTTGTAAACTGATAATTTCATGCAAGTATGCTCTCACTTGAAACAACAATAAGACGAATATTATATATTCTGCCCAGAGTAACTTACATTGTCTAAAAAGTCCTTTCATCCGGCAAGAAAAAAAATTGATTACACTTCCTTCAACAAAAGTTAGACAGAGAAACCCTGCAACTTCTTTGCCATTTCTCGAGGGGTAATTGCGCATGTTCTTTTAATTTTAGTTTGATGCAAGAAACTGCTGGTATGCGCCTACGTCGTTTTCCCGCTCAACAAAAGGAGGAAAATAAGAAACAAAAAAGGTCAATGTCGAGTAAAGAAAAGTAAGACAACGATACAGCCATTACATCAAAGACCTTGTTAGAAATGGAAGAATAATTAAGGACTTGATTGGAATAAGGAAAAGTCTTTTCAATCATTAGTCTGAGAAATATCATCAGATATGACCAATGATGTGGGGAGATTGTGAATTAAAACAAGTACTAGTATGGGCTTCCAGTCGTAATATGAATAGTTACATAAATCAATTATTTCCCAATAAAAATCATATTCATTTATCATTTCAACTGCACAGCAAAATCATATACACTCTTTGCAACCTTGTTCTCCAACCTATTAAACTAAAAAAGTTATATAATGATTTTATGGTCTGAAAAGACTCTTATTACATGCCAAACAACAAAAAACCAGTAGGGCTGATATTTAACAGTGAGGATATAACAAAAAATATTTCCAAATGCCTTTTTTTTCTATGAACAAGACTAAATAAGGTCAGATTAAACTAATGTGGAGAGGTTTGTTGATCTCTTAATGAAAATGGATGATTTACATTGATCAGATTTAAAGAAATGAGACTTAGGTGAAAGGGGACTTTGACATTGCATATTCTGCAGTACTGGGCATCAGCTTGGATTCCTATTGGAGGAAATTATAGTTTCTAGCGAGGGGTTTGGCTGTGCCAATTTTAAGACAGACAAATCATGTATCAGTCACTTAAGAAATTTTGTAGCTTACACTGGAAGGTCAAATACTCTAAAAGAACATGACAATATTTCACCTGATCACTCATGTCCTTTTCCATTGAAACTTTATTGGTAATTTTACAGTTGCAAAAAAGACATAGACACAAGTTGCATACAGTATAATCTAGTTGAGGCAAGTTGCGTGGAGAGAACAAAAGATTGATAATTGATACCAGTAGTAAGCTTCTGGAACTAATGACATTCTTGCCACAGTAAATTTCACACCTATCCATTCTGTCAATAGTACTAAGTTTATGTAGTGGGGTCACTTCACATCTCCCTAAACAGAAGAGAACATAAAAGTTAATTTCTATCATCACTCTCAATTAAGAAATAAAAATTGAAGGATCATAACATTTCTGGCAAGCGAAATGCAAGTCAAACTAGTTTGAAGAAATGTTAACTTAAAATTCGTTTTTAAATACGACAGAAATACTGTAGTCAGCATTCTTAAAAAACAAGGAGTTCCAGCCCCTTGAGTTATTATCCATTTGTTGAACATGTTCTGCTCTCATCTCATATTTTAAGAACCATAGAAAGTTAGTTAATTTTAATCTGCAAGTTTCATTGTACACTTCGACCCAAAATTCATTTCATATGGCAGAAGTATTCTACTGTATAAACAAGACAGATTGAAGCTGACACCATTCGTTTCGAATAATACATGAACATGAAGAAAATGGCACTATTTTAAACTCAGGAAACAAAGCCCACGCATTTTTTTTAGGGTAAATGAACTGGTTGGACCGAAAGCTAAACAAAGAAACAATGAACAGACAGTGATGAGGGATTTGGGAGCCATGTGATAAATAGGTTCTACCGAAGTTTACCCTCTAGGTCACTTCAAGACTAAAAAGGCAATTAGAAAAATTCTCCTGAAATTCTGAAATAATTATTTCTTCTGTTTTAAAGAAGGGTGGCTTTAGAGTCATAGGGTGAATTTGTAACAAGACATTGAAAAAGCAAAAGTGATTGAAAGCTAAACTGCACAACCATGTAGGGAGAATTTATTCCTTGCTTATCTTTCCTTCTGAGCTTGAAGTATTGCAGAAAGAAAGGGAGCTTTTCAACGAAATTAAGGAGGATTTTACTCAGGCACACCAAATTTAGGATGAGTTGCTTAAGGATTAAAGTACAAAAGATGCCACCTATCAAGATTTCAACCTGTGCGATCTGGAGTACACTAAATGTCAAATAGGACTTACTGAAAGACAATGCTCAATTGAGCATAAAACCCTGGAACAGCCTGAAACGATTTGCCATGACACAAGGTCAACCAAATTGAGGCATTCAGGGATAACAAGGGCTTCAGGTTCTATAAAGACTTCCAGGTCTTCAGTCATGTCCAAGAGAATGGAAGCAGCACCTAGGGCTGCGAAGCTGAAAGCAGTAGTCCCACTTCAGCTACAACTAATGAGGCCCATAAGTCATAAAACAGAGTGGCAGCAATGAAGGCACATGCAAGATCAGATGGCTAGAGAAGAAGATGCTGTTGAGAAGGCTTCGTGTGAGGAGTATTCAAGCAGAGTGTGCCACAAGACAATGGTGGGTATTGGACATACCCAGTCCAGTGTAAAGAGGTACTGCCTTGTATCTACCTGGCCAGATCCCCAAAGAAGAGTGGTTTGCTCTTTAAAAGGCAGAGACCAGGGCCAAGAAGGAAGCAGCTAAGGGCAATTAACTTGCCTGACTTTGTTTCAGAATCAGATGTGTTTGAAGCTTGCATGAATGTTACATATTATGTTATACTTAAATATGCACTGTGCTGTTACTGGTGTTTTCAAATTAAGCTCGTTTTTAGGAACCACAGGAATCCCCCTTTTTTCCCCTTTCTCCCCCTTTTACTTTCCATTTTTCTTTCCTCTTTTTCTTCCTCCCATAATCCCCTCATGCAAACTTTAAACCCCAGTTTTTGCATTACCGGAAGAAGAATCTTTTCCACCATTAGTTCCATTTTGATTCACTTGGTTTCATTGCACCAGTCCTATTGGAGGGAAAGAGTATTGTTCAAGACCTGTGTCATGAAGGAGTGGACTGATATGATGCGATACCTGATGTGACCAAAGCAAGGTGGGAGAAGTGGAGAACCAAACTTCATGTTCTTGAGCACCTTTCCATTCCAAGACGCTTCAAACCCAGTAACTTTGGTGTGGTTGTAAGAAAGGAACTGCATCACTTCCCAGATGCCAGCACCGAGGGCTATGGTCAGTCCAGTAACATCAGGCTTCAAGATGACTCCGGTAAAACTCATTGTTCATCAGTTGTCAGTAAGTTGCAAGTAACTCCCTTGAAACCCGTCAGGGTTCAATGCCTGGAGTTACAAGCTGCTGTGACTGCTGTAAAGGTTAGCCAACAGATACACAAGGATTTGAGCCTCGACAACATTTAAGGGTTCTTCTGGTGTGACAGCGAAGTAATGTTGGGCTAAACTGCTAATGAAAGTCATAGGCTCCATGTTTTTGATGCCAATTGGGTTCAGTTCAATCAAGACTTGTCTACAGTGGATCAGTGGAGTCACATACAAACCATGCTTCCCATGGCCTAAGCCCATATGTGTTTATGGCTTCGAAGTGGTCAAAAAGCCCTGCATTCATCTGGCAGAACAACGGTGAGTGGCCCATTGATGAGAGGGAATATATGCCAGATCCCAATCAAGTGTTGCCATGTGATCCTAAGGTCAAGAAGATCACAGTCTTGGTTACCAGTGCAGCAATCAGGGAAGTGAAAATTGAAGAACATTAGACTGCTTTTCAGATTGGTTCCATGTGAAAAGAGCCATTGCTTGAAGTCTTCTTTACCTCAAGACTCTGCAAGAGCAAGTTTTCACAAAGCGTAAAGGTAGAATCAAGAAAGTGAAACCCCAGATTCAAAATTTCCGGGAGGCTGAGAATGTGATCATCAAGTCTGTCCCATCAACTGCCTTTCCAGAGGAAGTCAGTTTGCAGAAGGCCACCCAAGATGTCACACCTCCCAAAGACAAGTCTTCAGCACCTATCAGAGAAGTAGTTTTAAGAAAGAACTCCACTCTGCAAAAGCTGGATCCCTTTGTTGACTTCCAGTGAATTCTTCCCATTGGTGGTCACCTAAGTAATACCTCACTCTCATTTGGAATCAAATACCCCCTGATTTTGCCTAAGAGAAGTCACATGACCACCCTTAAGGCACTTTCATAAGAAGGTGCAGAACCAAGGGGGGGGGGGGTATGACCCTAAACAAGATGAGAGCTGACGGTTGCTGGATCTCACTGGAAGAAAAGAAGTCAGAAGTTATATCTGGAGATGTGTTGTCTGCAGGAAGCTGCATTCTTAAGTTGTGGAGCAAAAGATGGCAAATCTGCCAGAGGATCACTTAGAGCCCATTGCAGCCTCCACAGATTCTGCAGTTGATTACTGTGGACCTTTCACCATCAGGGAGGGCAAGAAGGAAATGAAGGGTTAGAGTTGTCTTTACATGTTTAGCTTCAAGAACAGGTCACCACAACACTTCCAGTAAACTTGAGACAGATGCCTTTATCAATGCACTTCATCATCTTATTTGCTGGAGAGGTCAGATAGAATTTTGTGCAAGCTAAACATGAGCTGAAGGCTGCAGTTGCAGAGCTGGACGACAAATGTGTCCAAAAGGAGCTCCTGCAAGAGAACTATTATTGGATCACGTTTGTTATGAATGTTCTGTCTTCAAGTCATAAGGCTGGAGTTTGGGAGCAACAGATCCAGTCTATTCAAAACAACCTATCCCCTCTGCTGCCATCAACTGACTGCAGAAAGCATTGGGGGCATGTCTAACATCTAGCAAACAATCTTTTGACTGGCTACAGCAAGAGTATCTACCTAAGAGTATCTTACTTCAGCAGCCTCAGAAATGGACAACGCCAAGGAGAGACATGTTGATAATGTTGTTATTACCAAAGATGATAATGCCCTCCATAGTTGCTGGCAATTTACATGCATTGTCGCAGCTAATCAAGGCACTGGTGGTTGTGTTCATATAGTGAAGCTGGCCTTGGTTAGTGCCTGTCTTGAGGAGAAAGGAAGAAGAGTTGGTAAAGTAAAGTTCCTGAAGCATCCTGTTCAGAAACTTGTTTTACTGCTGTCAAAGAACGGGTATGAAACAGAGTCCCAGGGTGAATCCCAGCCGATAGCCCTTAGTGTAACTGGTCCTCAGTCAGACATATAACAAAGAATACTTTAGAGACTGAGTTTTGCATTATTATTATTAGTGATTTTTTAAATCCTTTTATAGTGAAACACTATTGTGTTTCAGGGGAGCCATGTAATTGTGTGGCTGTGCATTACAGTTGGGCTACAATTTTGCCCTTTGATCTTTTGGGTCTCAATTTCACCTAGTTTTTGTAGTTTTTGTATACTCCAAGTCATTAGTTGTAGTTTGTGTTTGTTGTTGTCGATTACACTAGTTCCTCTTCATCTATTGATTTCAGTTTACAAGACAATATAGACAATTATGATAAAGATCAGCGGTTAAGTTGGTTAACTGTCTCCATAACTGTAGCGCTTGTTCCTATTGGATAAATACCTTAACTGTTACATAATTTTTATTGTAACTACTTCTCTTCGTAGATGAGAAATAGCTACTATGTTATCAAATGTGCAAGTCCGTGAGTGGTCCGATCTTCAGATTGTGTTCGGAACATTTATCAATTTTATTTCGGATTATTGGTTTTATACGATCCCAAACTCAATGAAACTCTAGCACGTTGACGATAGCCAGGGCCAATCTTGATGTTACCCGATCCATTTTTGTCCGCTCTCGTCAACGATTGACTACTTATCAGTTGAAAAGTTCCAGTAATGTTGCTTTCTTTCCATGCGGAGCAGTGTGGAGTCAACAGTTTACGGTTAGAGGTAAGAGGATTTGTTTACAATGTTTTGCTATTCTGCACCAGTAACCGGGCACAGCTTTCAAGCAATGTGCACGGTGTTTTCTAGAAGAGACTTCCTTAGGTTGTTTGACTGCTCGGAATTTCCACCAGAAAAACCAATGCTGAACCAAGATGTTTGACTTCTTTGGTCGGCCATGATGGAGCGATTTGGGCAGTGAAACACGTCAAATTGGTCCACGTTCATCATCTGGCAAACCCTTATACGGATTTGACTAACTCCCTTTGGGGAACCAAATAATTTCTTCAGGAAACCAATACTGTCTTTTGAGAAACAACTAATTCCCTTCGGGGAACCTTCAGAGGAAAAAATGATCTCAGGGATGAGAACAGAAACCTCAGTTATGAGAAGATGGTCAATACAACATTCCATGGTTACTTTTACTTAAATAACGCATTCTTGAGATCTATGCCTGGTTTGCAGTATGATAATATAGTACATGTAAAGACTGGTCATACAAATGTTAGTAATGATTTACTTGTGAATACAATTACCGATAGTGTTAATCAGTGCATTAAACGTTCCCAACTGTGTAAAAAATGAGTAACTCGGAGGGTAAGAGATAGGGAACCATCGAGAATATCATTAAGAAGAGTTATGAAGTCACTCAAATGTAGAAAACTAAGAAAGAAGCACAAATTGTTGATCAAAAACTCAGTTCCTGTTTCATCTGTATTGTATAGTATTGCTACACATTATAAACAATGGCATATCAAATATACTAACAGACGAGATAGTTTCTATAGTTGTTATTATATGAAATCTACGAGGACTACAACAGCATTTACATGTCATTTGTCAGACATGCATCTTTTACTTTCAGGGGATGTTGAATTAAACCCAGGTCCTAGAACAATGATATGCAATGAAAGTTCTCATTCTTTACTACACTACAGATTACTTCGACATGGATTAAAACCACTAGATGTTGGCAGTGGAGGTGATTGCTAGTTTAAGTCCGTATCACATCAGTTATATGGTAATGCAAGTGAACATTTAGCAATAAGAGGTGCAGGTATTCAGTATTTCAGAGAGAATCCTGAACGATTTACAGAAGTAATTTAGAAACATCGTGGTTAGAATATTTAAAGAATATGACCATGCAAGGTACATAGGCTGATAATATCAAAAGCTTTTCAAAAGCTAATGCAAGCTCTTAGAGTAGGACAGCTTAAAATACATGGTAATATTGTTAATGTGCCCACTGATGTAACTCATACAGTGAGTATGCTGCCACGGTTACCAAGTGAGACTGGTTCAATCAAAGTCAATTTAAAGAGAAAATTGCGATATAAGAGTTCTGCATTGTCATTAAATGTCAGACCTCATAAAGTGGTGGAAGCTGCAGATTGGCTGATGATTAATAGCAGTCTTTATAAAGATGAAGGGATTAGTTTTAATCCACAGTGGGTTAATCAATACAATGAAGTTGTACTGCATGAAAACGTTGACAATGATGTGTGTGATGACAACAGTGATACTGTTGAAAGTGATGAGCGTGATCAGCAATCAACAAGAATTGTTGGAAACAGCACTAATGTTGATTTCCAAACAATAGACCATAAAGATGAATGGAGTGAAGATGAGGCAGAAACACCTGCAGGTGTTACTGATACTATGTTAACATCAACAGACTTTTTAGAAGTTAATGAATGTCAAAATATTCT